ATATTAAAAATTATTCTTGCCCTAGCGGGTTTGGCTCAGTGGTTAGAGTGTCGGCCTATAGACTGCAGGGTCCTGGGTTCGATTCCGGCCATGGGTACCTACCTCGGTTGGAGGCTCGATCCCCGACCTGGGTCTGGCAGCATGCCGGAGGCAACCAACCAATCAATATATCTCTCTCACATCGATGTTTCCCTCTCTCTCTCTCCCCCTCCCCCTTCCACTCTCTAAAATGCAATGGAAAAAATATCCTCAGGTAAGCATTAAAAAAAATAATAAAATTATTCTTGCCTGGCTGGCGTGGCTCAGTGGATGAGTATGAACCTATGATTCAGGAGATCGAGGTTTGATTCCCAGTCAGCACACATTCCTGGGTTGCAGGCTGGAGTCCCAGCAGGAAGCGTGCAGGAGGCAGCCGATCAATGACTCTCTCTCATTGATGTTTCTGTCTTCCTCTCTGTCCCTCTCTGAAATCAATTAAAAAAATATTTTTAAAAAATGATTCTTACAGAGCATATAGTTTGGTCTTGTCTTTAAAAAAAAAAAAAATCCATTTGCCAATTTCTGCCTTTATTAATGCGGTTGACTTTTAGGTGTACCATTTTACTATTTGTTTTCCGTTTGTCCCTTTCCCAGACCCCCTTTCCTTTGTTCCGCTCCTTTGTGCCTTCTTTTGGGTTAAAAACATTTTTAGGGTTCCATTTTAACTTACCTACTTTTAAATATACCTCTTTCCATGATTTGTTTCAGGGGTTGCCCTAGATTATAATATACAACCTTCACTTTTAATACTCTTAAGAATTGTACCATTTCACGTAACTGGAGCAAATTCCTTAACCTCTCTGAGCCTGTCTCTTCATTTATACACAAGAATAATAAACTTACCTCGGGTTATTTGACTATTGAATTGTTGGGGCATATAAAGTGGTAGCAAACTGCCAAGAGCAAAACAAGGAAGCCATACCTACACACCATCATCACTAATAGCAGTAGAGTGGTTATTATTACTACTACTGGGGGTAAATGTTATTATTAGTGTTGGACCTCCTGGGCCACAGGGGCGCCATATTGAGCATCCTCACTAGCTTGTCATGTGTTTCCACCTGTTTTTTGTTTTTTGTTTTTTTTTTAATTCTCATCCAAGGATGTTTTTGACTTGAGAAGGGGGTTGGTGGAGACATCCATGGGTTGTGTCCTGTTGAGGCCCAGACCAGGGCTGGAACCCACAACCCGGGCATGTGTCTGACTGGGAATTGAACCTGTCACCTTCCAGTGTACGGCACGCTGCTCCAACAAACTAGGCCACACCAGAGCTCCATCTGCTCTTGATCCCTCTGCTCTGTCAAGGACAGTTCATGTCTCAGCAGGGCATCCCTCAGCTGCTCCGGCCTTGCCCAGGCCTGTGCCCATTCTAAAGGCTTCTCCTGAATCCCAGTACAGCCAAGCCAGCTGACCACAGCCTGTCCCAGCCCTGCCCGAACCTGGTTCTCATCCCAAAGCCTAGCTTTATTGTCAACATTAGTGTCTGTTGTCCTGAGCAAAGTGACCTGAGGCCACTGTCCCACAAGCCTCCTGCTACCTTCAAATGCATCCTTCCCAACATGACAGGACTCCCCACACCTGTATCTCCCTTCTCTCATTTCCCTAAGAGCTATCAACCCTCATCTGTGGAAATCAATCGGACAGCAAAAGTGCTGATGTTGGTTCTACCCCTAGCCAACCTGCAGTTACTCTGAATGTTTCTTGGGGTGTGGAATTCCAGAGTTTTGAGGTGCAGATGAGTAATTCTCAGGAGTCTGGATGGGCTGGGGCGGTGGCAGCAATGGCACAAACACCAGAAGACACTAGGAACAGAGCTGGGGGAGCAGAAGGAATTCAAGTGAACTTGGATCCTTGCAGGATGCTTTGTTACTACTTGTCAACGCTCAGTAACAGAAGGAAGCAGGAAGCTCTTGATTGCTGTCTGAGAGTTTTGTTAAAAGCAACTGAAATGGGGGCTTTGAATTGGCAGAACTTCCCGTCCTAGGCTTCTCTTCCTGGGTGGGGGTTTCTGTGTCTGGGCAACTCGACCCAAATTCTCCTTCCAGTTAGCATCAGTCTCATGTACTTTTTAAAAAGCAGATGCTGCTGCTATTCTTGTGGCTTCACATTTCTCACAGGGACAGGCCCAGCCCATACCTGTTTCCTGCTTCATCCTGTAGCCTGCCCTCTGCCCAGGCTTTCTGGCTGCTCCGGGGATGTACCTGATATGTAAACGTGCAGGGGCAGGAGCCTCTGTCATAATACAATCTATTCACCACAGTATCTCCAGCAGCGGCCATACCTGCCCCCTGTTGGTGCTCAAGATGTCTTTTTTGAATGCACGAGTGGCTGTCCCCACCTCCCCTGCACGGTTAGTGCCGACCACGTGGTCTGGGCTTCTCACGGGGTTTCGTGCTCCCTGTACTCTCCACCAACTTGAGTTCCTCAGTACCCATCTCTGGGTCCTTTCACAGTGCCCTAACCTCGGCAGGTGTGTTTTGGTTGGTTGGTTGCATTTTAACACCCAACAGTCCTTATAAAATCAAGGAAGAGGTAGGTTCTCCTTTATTCAAATGTGTGTTACCCAAGAACCAATTCATGGATGTGCCTGAGGTAGAGGGCCAGCCTCTCTCCAGGGACCTGAGGTCACCAACAATGAACTAAGGGCTTGGAAATGGGGCAGGGGGGTCCCAGGAGTGTTCCACTGACTACTGCTCAGCAGGATGAGCTACGGGTTTTCCTTTTCAAAAACAGCAGAGCACAGACAGTATAGTCAGGAGACTTAAAGTGGAGACCAGGCCACAAGAGTCCACTGTACTTTGGCCAGTAGGACTTGATAGGAGTCAGGTAACCAGTTGAGCCACACAAGGCCCGGGGATGGCAGGGTTCCTGACTTTCCAGACCAACTACCTGAGGGCTGGTGGGGAGAACAGGGCTCTGCATTGCTCTCAGCTGAAGAGAATGAGGACACTGCAGCCAGAGGTAGCCAGTGTGACAGGGGAGACAACAGGGGCACCTGGGACAGAACCTTCAGCTGCTCCCCACTAAGTCCCCCCCGCCCTGAGGACCCGGCGTCTCACATTTCTGTGTCTTTGCAAGCCTAGAATGCCGTCACCTTATCCCCCACATGACTGACTAGTCCTCAGACTTACCCAACAGTGGTGTCACCAGCTGGATTTATACCAAGCATATAATCCCCAATTTAGATTTATAAAGCATCAAACAATGTGAAAAAGTAAAAATATTTCAGCACTTTGGTTATGAAAAATACCTATGGAGATAAAAGGGAAATCTCCAAAACGAAATTATCAGTGCCAAGTGCAATGGGTGGGGCTCTGGGGTCAGACAGGTTGAGGTCAGTCTGGAAACACCCCTGCTGGCTGGCTTTTCTTGTGCAAACAGCACTGCCCCCTGGCCTGCTGGCTCACCAGTCAAGTAACCCTGCTTCTGAGCTTGCTAATAAAACACACAGTCCTATGGTTGTCAGGTTATAGAATCTGTCTTTAGAAGGAGTTTCATCTGAAATCACTTTGGTTTATGATATTTAAAAAAATTAAAAGTTCTGGACTGGATGTCTAGGCCCTGGGAGTGAAAGGCTCATGAAAGGACAGTCATCCTTGTGAACACCTTTGCAGTTGTAAAGGTGGGTATGTGTTCTCAAAGCATTTGTAACTTATAATTTATAGAAATAACAACCTTGGCAATCCTTGTATTTTTTCATTGCTTATTTTGTCTTTGCTATTTTTCTTTTTTATGTAAGGTTTCCATTGCGTGAACAATTAATGTCAAATGCTTGCTTTCCTTGAGAACACAGGCTCGCATGTACAGCACAGCCATGGCAGCTAGGGCCTGCCTTATGTCATGCTGTGTTAACCTACGCTATTTAACAAACTGTCCATTTCAATGGGTTACGGTGTTGTTTCAGTATAAATGAATGGTAATTTAGGGACTAAGGAATGCATGAAAAACCTTCCACTGGAATTAACGGCAATTATATTTTTCACTTAGGATTCTATTCTCCAGGCCCATAAAGTCACACACAAATACACACACACACACACACACACACACACACAAGGTTCTTAGATCTTTATTTTACAAAACTTGGTGTATACTCTCTCCTCTTGCCCCCTCACCCGACCTGGAGGTATTGCTCCTACGTATTCTTTTCTGTGGAATACCATCAACCACGATCCATTTTTACCACAATTCATTCAGCCATTCCTTTAATGATGGTCATTTACACTGTTTCCTTCAGTCCTTACAAAAAAATACGCTATACATTGATAAGAATAATCTTAAGTACTGGCATGTTTGTCTTTCCTTAGGGACAGGTTCCCAAACATGAGACTGCTGAATTGAAGAGTGTGTATTCTTAATGTTAAAACAGAGTCACAATGATTTCCAAGGCTGTCACAATTTATTCTCACAGCAGAGTATGAAATTAACCCTCCTGCGCTTCCTTGCTGATAGTGGATCAGATGACAACTTAAAGACTTATTGGACTGCGGATGTTCTAGTAAATTTGTTCAGAAAGTCACTCATATTCATATAGTAACAGCATGTCAATGGTTTTCAAAAATTCTAAAAAGCCAGTTATGGTTGCCATTTATAATTCTATGCATGATTTGTGATTGAGAGGAAAAGGAGGAACTTGAGAATCTGAAATCTATCCTCAAATGGTATCGTTGAGTTATGCAAAAAAAAATTTTGTAGGTTAAAAAATATATGAACAGATCACTGAACAGTGTAATTTATAAAACTGTTTGTGAACCTTTAAAGGAGAAGTGTAACTTACACTAAGTCAGATTCCAAAGAGAAATTCTGTAGGTTGACAAATACTGCAAAAATGTATTTCTAAAGTGGACTACGTGCATGGAAAATTTAAAAAGCAACAAGACATGACAGTTTCTTAAAATAAATTATTTTTCCTTTAAAGTCTCGNCTACGTGCATGGAAAATTTAAAAAGCAACAAGACATGACAGTTTCTTAAATTATTTTTCCTTTAAAGTCTCGGAAAGGTAACGTTTGTGCACTACATACATATCCTATCATTTTTTACAAGACAATTCATAAAATAAGAGAAACAGGGAAACAAAAATACAGGTGGTCTCTGGGTTATACAACATTTTGGTAATTGACATGCATCTGTATGTAAACATCCTCCTGGAAAACAGCAGCATGATGGATGTGGGTTCTCTTTAGCCCATTTTTATCTGTGGTATGTACTGAGTAACACAGCCCATAGCTGCCTCCTTTTACTCTCCAAACCTCCTCTTAATTATCTACTTGCATATTTATGTAAGTAATGCTTCTAGAAATTCTTCAGCAAGCCCAGAAGCAGGTTAAAACTTCAACATTGTCTTGTTTATTATGAGGCAGCTCAATAACAATGGCCATGCCAACTTATATACGCCCGCAAGCAGTAGAAAACGTGTTACATGCTACTTCAAAATCTGTTCCATATTTCATCTGGAATGCATACTGAGTTGTAAAGATACTGAAAAAAAATGTGGTATTTAATATGGAAAATCTTTTGATATGTCCGAATTATTACAGAGGACTAGAATTTCAAACTTCCAGTGACTGTTACATTCACACATGCAGATCTAAAATATACTTTTGTGTTTTTGTGGCAAAATTGTGTACCACTAAATCCCTAGGTATTGTCTGTAGATCCTTTCTGCTGCTTCCCAGAATACTTTTCTCTTGAATAATTGAGACTTTAAAAAGCTCACTGTAATAGTTAAGTGTACCTATTTACAACTGGACATATTCTGATATGTATTCTTTAGTTGGATATCATATCTTTCAGTATACCGGTGTTCCTAGGGGACCCTGTTTTTACGTTTCTGAGTTGATAGGTGATATCTGAGTAAGAATTCCCATGCTCCTTCAGTACCTCAGGAGGTTTCTCCCCCCGGAAGGGCTCTGGTGGAAGGCTTCTGCACAGTCCCCCTGGCTGCAGTCTCAGGGTTTGTCATCTATATGAACTCTTAGGTGCACACTGAGTCGGGACTTCCTGCTGAAGGCCTTCCCACACTGAGAACATTCATATGGTTTCTCCCCCGTATGGATTCGCAAGTGTAACCTAAGAGTCGACCGCTGGCTGAACGTTTTGCCGCATTCTGTACACTGGTAGGGCTTCTCCCCTGTGTGAGTCCTCATGTGTATGATGAGTTGCGAGTTCTGGATAAAGGATTTCCCACATTCGCTGCACTCATAGCGTTTCTCCCCCGTGTGGATTTTCTGATGTATGATGAGGTTTGATTTCTTGAAGAAGGTTTTTGCACATTCATTACACTCATAGGGTCGCTCCCCTGTGTGGATTCTCTGGTGTGTAGTAAGTTCGAACTTCTGGGCAAATGTCTTGCCACACTCACTGCACTCATACGGCTTCTTCTCCATGTGTGCTCTCTGGTGCACAATGAGGTTTGACTGGTGGGTGAAAGCTTTTCCACACTCAAGACATTCAAAGGGCTTCTCCCCGGTATGAATTCTCTGGTGCTTAATGAGGTTTGCCTTATGGGAGAAGGTTTTCTTACATACGTTACATTCATAAGGTTTTTCTCCAGTATGTATTCTCTTGTGACTGATGAGGAGTGACTTAAAGGAGAAAGTCTTGTCGCAGTAATTGCAAATGAAAGGTTGTACCAAATTTCTAACTTTCTGATGTTTAAAAATGGCTTCTTTATGGCCAAAGGCTTTTCTACTTTTGTTATATTGGGCGTACTCCATTCCAGTATGGGTTTTCTCTTGCTTTAGATAGAAAAGTGCTTTTCCAAATCCATTATAGTCATCAGCTTGCTTCCTTATGTAGCTGGTACCATTAAGTAAGTCTGAACTATATTTCAAAGTTTTTTCATATAAGTCATATTTATAGGGTACTTGTCTTAAAGAAACAAAGTCTGTGCTCAGATTGAATGAGTTTTCGAAGAGATCACTTCTTTCCTCAATTGGGGTTTGGTTCTTAAAGATTATAAACGGCCTCGTCTGCTCCTCTGGGTTGCTGTGCCCCCTCTCCACTTGGTCGTCAGCCTTCCACACCTCTAGGAAAAAGCACAGGAAGTACAGTCAGTGCTTCCACTGTAATGTTATAGAAAGTGATGCCTCCACAAGTGTTCCTTTGTAGGGATGCCTTTTTAGTTTGGGGCCCAGTATTCCCGTATTAAAAAGTTCCCAATGTAAATTTTTCCCATCTCTTCAACTTTGAAAGAAAAAGGATTAAAAAAAAAAAAAAAAGAGCCTATAGTAAAAAAAAAGAAGTGGAAACTGACAATGAACACAGTAGCACTGAGATTACAAAGTAACCTTCAAGGGGGGTAAAGTGAAGTAAAAACACAGGGCAGCAAACAGGAAACATGACGTGGGAAGGCTGGCAAGTCCAGGGTGAAGGAGATTCACAGTGTCCTCAAGGACGCTGCAGTTAGCACAGAGACCAAGAAAATAAGGTGAAGATGTTAAGGGGAAAGACATAGGCAGATCTGAGTTCAGCAACTGGAACTTTGACTCTGAATTACTGTGGTTGGACCAGCACTTTGTCTACATACTTCTAGGCTCTCTCTCCTCCTTTTCCCTTCCTACCGGCAGCATTTCTTAGTTTTGGGGAGACAATCCTATTGCAGAGTTCCACATCTCTAACACAGTGATTTTCAACCGCTGCGCCTTGGCGTTCTGGTGTACCACAAGAATTTTAAAATAGGTTTGTGTCCCTGAATAAATAGTTATTGCCTCTTTTCCCTTAGATTATCAAATTTAAAAATGACAACAGCCAATACAACAGTAGCTGTCTGGTGTAAATTAATCAAAATTATACTTTTTTCTTTCTTTTGGTCAGATTGGCAAAATAAGTTTTTGGTGTGCCACAGAATTTTTGTAATTAGTTTATGTGTGCCACGAGATGAAAAAGGTTGAAAATCACTGCTCTAAAGTGAGATGTTTGCAAATGAACGGCAAGGTCCAGAAACTCATATATTCTGTAGGAAATATAAAATCAATCCAAAGATCCATGATCCTTTTTGATAGATTCAATGCTATGGCTGGTTTCATTGCTTTTTCTATTGAAGTTGTTGGAGAGAGAATGCTTTCATTATGATTTTATTTTTCTCCATTTATTTTCAGAAAGTGCATATGGGAACAGATTGTAGAGGTTATTTTTATTTTTTTCCGATAGGATTTTATTTTATTCCTTTGAGAGAGGTAGAGAGAGAGAGAAACACTGATTGGCTGCCTCCTGCATGAAACCCGGGCATATGCCCTGACTGGGAACCCAACCTGTTACCTCTTGGTTCATGGAACCACTGAGCCACACAGGCCGGGCTTATCTTTCTCCTTTTAATATGCTTAATTTCTCCGTCAAATCACCCAGTCTCTACCTATGCCTTGAATAACCTTTACCATCCTCTGTGCATTATTGGTCATTCCTGCCTCCTGTGATCCTGCTGCCATCTGTGTCCAGGACAACGTCACTCCTGCACTGAAAAAATGGTTTCCCTTGAGGCCACTACGCCAATGATCATGAGCTAAAATATAAAATATTCAGGCATCTGAGGTACACAGGTCATCTCTTTGCAGCTATCTTTAAAGGTTTAGGGATTTGAAGAAAAAGTCCTAACAATATTTCAAAGGTACCAACTCATTCACAATCTTTGGGATATTACTTCTAGTGGCTTCTGGTTCTCCTTCCCTCCTTCCACAGCTTCCCTAGAAAGTTCTCACCTGGCAATTCTAACTTGGTTAGCCACAGCTTTTGTTGCTCCAACTTAAAAATCACATCTGGTTGGATATCTCCAAGAACTTGCTAATGGAACACAGCTCCTAAATGCTTGGACTTTAGAACTCTAGAGTCTCTCAGCTTTAACACCTGAAGCTTGAGATGAAAACCACTTACTAATTTAGAAGTTCATGACTTCTGGTAACTGAGAAAGGACATAAACACTACTAGGTAAACAAGGGTTACACCTGAAAGCTGTCCTTACCCACTGACAGCAAGTTGCTATAGTTCTCCAACATCACATCCATGTACAGGATCCTCTGAGACGGGTCCAACTGCTCCCATTCCTCCTGGGTGAAGTCCACAGTCACATCCGTGAATGAGACTGATCCCTGAAATGGCATATTGCTATTCATTCTGGAATGATGAGCATTTGGTGATACAGAAAGGATATATGAAAAGTTATTCTTACCATACTGTTTTAAAAGTCATTCACCAGGAAATTTACACAACACCAACTGCACATCTTCACTATATTTTGTCAAAAGACATTTTTGCACTGTTAGAGCATATATTCAGATTTTCCCATATCTCTGGCACTGTCACACTGGACAGGTATCTAAGATTAACAAAACCCCAGGTCCCCTCTAAAGATGTGTAGGGGCTCAATACTGCATAAACACTAACAAGAACAGTTATCACAAAGGTGATGATGATGCTCACAGAGGTACTGTGTTTATGGTATCAAACTAGACAATATTAAAGAATAAATTAAACTTTTTGTGATATTGTGATCTGTAAGAAATATATTTGGTCTTCGTCCACAGTTCCTGGCTCACAGCTCCCCAAACTACTATATTAACCTAAGAATTGAGTGTGATAAAGGTTCTTGCAAAATAAATGAGGTGAGTTGGAAGTTACTTAAGAGGCTGGTCAACACTAGACCTGACCATGTGATTAGAAGGTTGGAACTTACAGCCCTGCTCTGTGACCTCTCGATGGAGGAAGGGAGTTAAAAGGTACAAACTTCAAGTTATAAAAAATATGTTGTGGGGATGTATAATGTAGAGCATGATGGGTATAGTCTTTTGCATCTACAATAGCATACCTTCGAAATGTCAGGGTAACTTCCCTTTTTCCAGATCCAACAACCATGCCAGAGCAGACACCATAAATTCCTTCTTTGTTACTGTTATCAACTGTTAATTGTTGACTGTTAACTACCCTGCACCCACCCATATACATGTAAAAGATGTATATGTCTATCATTTTATTTTTATCCAATCACAGAGGTTTCCCCCACTTTGCTTTCTCTCGCCTTCCTAATCTATCACCAATGGATTTCATTTAACCCCCTTACGTCTTCTCTTTTGATTGGCAGTTTTGCACCTTATTTTATATATTACATTCTCTGTAATATATATATACATTCTCAATCCATTGAGGTTTTGATTCCCAGCAATTGTCAACAGTTTAGCTCAAATAAACTCACAAAAATTCTCTACAGGTTTAAACGTTTCTTATGTTGACAATACACCATATCAAATCATTGTATTGTATATCTGAAACTAATATGTCAATTACATCTCGATTTAAAAAATAAAAATTAAAAAGACTATAAAAAATAAAAATGTTCACAGCAGCATTTTACATAAGAGCCCAAAGTAGGAAAAACAAATGTTCACCAATGGATTAGCTTCTTGTGGTATATTAAAACAATTAATTACTATAAAGCACTGAAAATGAACTAATTCCAGCTACACAGGGAGAACTTCACAAGGGCTTCAAGAATGCTGACTAATTTCTATTTCTTGGCCTGAATGGTGGCTACATGGGGGTGTGTGTGTATCTATATAAAATAAATCACATGTACATTTTAAATAGTCTTCTATATATGATACTTTATCCCCACAAAAGAAATACTGAAGCATAGAAAACCAAGAATTTAATCAAAACCAGAAAGTTATAAGAAAGGAAAAAATAGTGAAGACCATTTAATAACTTTCAATACCATCTCCATGTGCCACATAATAAGTACACTAAGAACTTTTGCATCACTGTCAGACCAACAAAGGTATAAACCTGTGTATGGCACATCACTGTGGCTCGATTCACACTGATTCAGAAATGGCTCTACCATCAAATATGAAAATACTTTGTCTCACAATGCTGTTTTCCATACTCTATACAAACAAAACACTGCTCAAAAAATTGGTGATAAAACACTATTCTGATACTGTAGCATTAAAAAGATGTCAAACATGATTGACTTCAGAGGCTTACTTTTGTCATGACAGATACAGTTTCAATCTGAAATGATTTCCTGCTCTGGGCAGAAATTCTATGGCCATGAGTAGAGGTGTACCTAGCTTATCTGACACCCAGAGCAGACTTTTAACACCTTAACTCTTTAAACTGTTATATACATCTAAAATCTTCACCTCTAAAAGAATCCTCTTAACCTATTTACATGCTCTTTCCTTCGAATCTATACCTTTCACCTTCAGTTATGACTTCCAATTCCTTAACTTCTCATACTTATTCCAAATTGTCATTGCCCCTCTAAGATTACATACTTCCAAAATCTAGATTATCCTTGTCACCAGCTTCAAAACCCTTGCCCCAGTAACTTTCCACCACTTCCCACTCATAACTACTAGCCCCAGGAAAAGTTACAGGAAGTGAGAGGGAAAAAAAGATTAAGGTCTGAGTACTATAAAAGGCCTAGTTATAGTTTACAAATTTGCATGTCATGTAATCAGCATTATTTCAAGACATCTTACAGGAATCTTTAGCAATTTGGCATGGGAGCAGAGAATGAAGATGATGATGATTCATCTATGCCTGAGATCAATACCATGAGGGTCAACAGAGTCAAGATTTTCCCAATTGTAAATATTCTCCATTTTAAGGTCACTTCTGAAATTACAGTTAAAAAAAAACCAGGATGACTAGAAAATTTCCTAGGGACTAAATTAAGTACTAAGGACACAAAGACCAGGGTAAGTCTTCACTCTGATAGCTACCCCTCAATTCTCTCCTTTGCTTCCTACATCCAGTGCCACCCCAGCTATTACAAAAGCTTCCTAACTCTTATTTCTTGTCTCCCCTTATTCTCTTTTACCCCACATTCTAAAGCATCTGTAATTTTCCTAAAGTAAAGCTCTATATAATTACCCTGATTAGAAATGGATACCCATACCTATTGTAATAAATTAACTAGCCCATTATTCAAAGCAGCTGTACTGTTTTCACTAAGGTTGTGTAAAATTTTTGTAATATTTGCAAAATCCTAATATCTACTACTTCAGTTTCCAGAAATGTTATGCATAATCTAGTATGCTTGTCTCTTCATTAAAAATGCTGTTTATTCAGCTTGTAATCTACATGATTCCCAGATCAATTCCGGCTTGTATATTTATTTGCATATATTGGGTATTAGTTTTATTAGTGGCTATTCAGCTTTTCAGCATCTAGGGCAGGGGTGGGGAACCTTTTTTCTGCTAAGGGCCAGACCAAATGATTTTGTGGGTTGTGGAATAAGTATCAAGCACAACGTAAGTAGAAACATCCATGTGACTCATCACTACACAGGCATAAGTTATAGACCAAGTAACCTCTCACAAAAGAACAGAATAAAGAAAAACTAAGCAGGAAAAAAATCAGAAAAAATTTTAAATATATAATTGGATATAACAGGTTAGATACAGCTTGAGGAGATGATTAGTGAACCGTAAAATAGGTCAAAGTAAGAAATATCCAGCCTGAAATAAAGAAAGAACAAAAGATGGGGGGAAAAATCTAAAAGCCTAAAAGACATATGGGACAAATTAAAAAGGTCTACTATATTTGCAATTGCAGTCCAAATAGGAGAGGCAAAATACAACAGAAACAATACTTGAAGAGATAATGGCTTAGAATTTTCCAAAAGAGCTCACGTCAGACCATAGAAACACCACTAATCCCAAAAAAATAAATACAAAGAAAACCACACTTAGGCACATCATAATAAAGCTGCTAAAAATCCCAAAGGAAAAAAGATGCATTGCCTTCAGAGGCAAAACAGTAAAACTGACAGCTAACTTTTTCAATGGAAACAATGGGAGCCAGAAAATAATATTTTCAAAGTGCTGAAAATACTAAAATATGAGTTGGCAAACTTTTTCTATAAAGGGCCAAGTAGTAAATATTTTAGGTTTTGCAAGCCACATGTAGTTTCTACTCCAAATAACCGTCATTGTACCACAAAAGCAGACAGGAGCAATATATAAACAAAAGGGCACAGCTGTCTTCCAATAAAACTTGACTATGGACACAGAAATTTAAATTTCATATAGTTTTCACATCATGAAACACTCTTCTTCCCCCCAGCCATTAAAAAAATGTTGTAGGTAATTTATTCAGCATTGTTTCATGGCATCTTATAGGAATCTTTAGCCACTTTGCATGGAATGCAGGTAATGGGTCATCTATGCCTAAGATCAATACCAAATACTATATACTAATACTAAATATCAATACTAAAAACCATTCTTAGCTGTGGGCCATACAAAAACAAGGCAGCAGGCCATTTGGCTGATGGGCGATAGTTTGACCTTCTAAAGTAAAATTACAACTACTAAATAATAATGTTATGTGTTAAGTATTATTACTACTATCAAAGGACGTACTCCAAAAAGAAAATTAAACCTAGCACAAATCAGTTAGATGCAAAAAGCAACAGACAGCAAAATATGTTGTTAAAATAAGCACATATGGAATGGAGGGAAGGAATGTTAAGTAATAAGCTGAAACTAATTTTTAGATGCCAGAAACCTAAAAGTGGTAGCAGAAAGTACTGTGTTTGGGAGGAAAATATAAATTGTGATTAACTTTAAATGTTTAAGTAAACATTAAAGGAGTAAAATAAACTTTAAAAGGATGGAAATATATTCTGACAGATCTAGAAGAAAAGTAGATCAAGAAAATTAGTAATCAAAATAAAATGGAATAAATATTTAATAAAAGATTAAGAGCTTCAGGAGTTTAAAAAAAAACACCACTTAAAAGCCTGAAAATAAAAGTAACAGAAAAGCCTGCAGGAAAATGTCAATAATTGATTAAAACAGAATTCCAAAAATAAATGAACAAACAAAAGAGAAAACAACAAACTAATGGTTGCCAGATGAGAGGGGGGGTTGGGGTGAAGGGTGAAAAAGGTGAAAGGGATTAAGAAGTACAAATTCCCAGTTATAAAAATAGTCACAAGGATGTAAAGTAAAGCTAAGAGAATATAGCCAATACTATTATAGTAACTATGTATAGTGTCAGATGGGTTCTAGACTTATCGGGGCAATCACTTCGTGAGGTATATAAACGTCTAATCACTATGTTGTACATCTAAAACTAATTTAATATTGTACATCAACTGTAACTTAAAAATTAAATTAAAAAAAAGACACACACAAAAAAGAACAGATAATTTCTATTTCTTAACCTGGGTAAGTATATGTGTGCCCATTTTATTATTACTCTTTAATGTATACATAGTTGCCACACATATTGTTATAACACATATAAAGATTATAATACTGTATATGTGTTATATTACACAATAAAAAAATTAGGAAACTATGCCCTGTTATGGGAAGACTAAAGACTAAAGATATGTTTTTGAACGATACAAACATACCTAATCAAGAAAATGAAAAGACAAAACCACAGATGGGAAAAAAATCTTTGCAAAACACATACCTGATAAAGAACCGGTATCCAAAATACATAAAGAAAACTCCTAAAACTCAACAATAAGTAAACAACCAACCTGATTTAAAAATGGGCAAAAGACACCTCACCCAAGAAGACATACAGATGGAAAATAGACATGGAAATACGCTCTACATCATGTCATCAAGAAATTGTAAATCACAACAAGATACTGCTACACACCTATTAGAATGGCGAAAATCTACAACACTGACAGCACTAAATGCTGGCAAGGATGTGGATCAACAGGAACTCTCATTTACTGATGGTGGGAATGCAAAAACGGTACAGCCACTTTGGAAGACAGTTTGGCAATTTCTTACAAAATGAAACATACTCTTGGCATACAACCTAGGAATTACACTCCTTAGTATTTTATATCCATGCAAAACCTTGTACACAATGTTTATATAAAGCTTTATTCACATTTACAAAAACTTAGAAGTAATGCCCTTCAATAGGTGAATGGATAAACGGTGGTAAATCCATACTGTGAAATATTACTCAGTGCTAAAAAGAAATGAGCTATCAAGCCATGAAAAGACACTGAGGAATCTTAAATGCACATTTCTAAGTGAAAGAAACCAATCTGAAAAGACTACATACTGTATGATTCCAACTACATGACATTCTGGAAAAGCATAACGATGGAGATAGTAAAAAAAAAAGCAGTAGGAAAGTCATGCAACTGCCAGCTGCATGTAGATGTGCGAGCCCCCAGCTCAGGCCAGGATGTTTGTCTTGGTGGAGATGGTGAACACTGTGCAGATTCCCCCATGGAGATCTGAGAGGAAGCTCAATGACTCCATTGCCAATGAGCTGAACAAGAAGTCAGCTACAAGGTACTGGGCCCATGGGGTCACACGTAAGCCTTGGCATGAGAGGGTCCAGCGCTACCCACCTGCAAGCTTCAGGCCCAGCCTTGGGCAATTTGCTTATCTCAGAACTTGATTTCCTTACCTTTACAAGGTAATTCTTATCCCACAAGGATGTTGGACAGAATCAAAAGAGAAACTGGGTTTGAAAAAGGCCCCTGTAACTGCAAAGTGCTAGATTACACACTTCCTAATTACTTTGCAATCTTGCGTAAGCATTTACCCACTCTGGGTCTGTTTCCATTTGTAAAAGAGAAATAATAATTGCTGTCCAAAAAAAGCACCCACAGTGTTTGTCAAGGGCTCAGGGAGAAGGAGGGATGAATGAATACATAGAGCACAGGGGATTTTTAGGGCAGTGAAACTATTCTGTGTGATATTATAATGGTGGATACATGTCATTATGTATTTGTCAAAACCCACAGAATGTACACCACCAAGAGTGAATCCTAATGTAATCTATGGACTTTAGGTAAAATATCAATATTGACTCATCAATTATAACAGGTATACCACATTAATATAAGATGTTAGTAACAGGAGAAACTGTGTGTGTAGAGGGAGTATATGGGAACTCTCTGTACTTTCCACTCAAATTTTCTGTAAACCCAAAACTGCTCTAAAAAATGAAGTCTATTAATTAAAAACACATATAAACAGAACAGTATGATTAATAATCAATCTATCTTATAATAACCTATATTTGTACTTTGTACATATGTAGAAATAAACTCTGGAAAGCTACTCAAGAAAGTAATAATAGTGAGACTTGTGGAGGTTAGAGAATATAAATACGCATCCAAATATTTACTAAGTTCTCTGCATCATGCTAATCTGATTAGAAAAATAAAATACACAATAAAATCCTGCATTTGCACTGAAGAATGCTATATGAAATAACCATAGACAAATTGATAACTTTTAATTTGGGTTGTTTCTGCAGACACTATCCAAAACACCATCTAAGTGAAGGTTTATAAAATTTCTTCAGACCTAACGCTAGACAACCAAAAAAATGGTCTTCATAACCAATGTAAGGCACTTAATTAACTTGGTTTGCTTTTCAGCTGCTGGTATTGATCAGTTATATTTACTTTGTTTTCCTTTATTCATCTATACTCTTTTGTTTCATAGTCTGGATCCTTATAAACTTCCTCAAATGTACTAAAAAACAAAGTTGGAAATAAACAACTCACCTGGGATTTGTTCATTTTCTGCAGTTTTTGGATAAAGGTAGATATGAAAGCAGACCTGAAATAAAGCAAAAAGAAAGGTATTGTTATTAAAGATCTGACCTGCTTCAGAACTCCTAGAAATCCCTGCACATCACCTGGGAAAACACCACCGCCTGGGGTAGTCACTTTGCCTCTTCAAAAGGGGCAGAAAAGATCATACTGGCAGCACTCACCTTCAATCACACATTATGAGACACCCAAAAAGGCCATCAGTAAGACCACCCACTATCAAGAGGAAAAGTAATCAACAAAAGCCTCACCTAATAAAAACAGGGAATTTAAAACAAATATAATTCATATACTAAAGGCTTTAATGGGAAAGTTAGACAATGTGAACAAATAGGGAATTTCAGAAGAGATGGAAACTGCAAATAGAAATCAGATAGAAATGCTAAGAAAGAAAAACAGTAACTGAGTTGAAAGAATACCTTCAACAAGTTTATTATTAAACTCAACAGAGCTGAGGAAATTTTCAGGAAATCTGAAGACAGGTTAAAAAAACATTACCCAAACTGAAATACAAAGAGGAAGTGGAAGAAGAAAAAAAGGGTGAGGGCTGTGGCACAATATCAAATGACCTAACAAACATGCCAATGGAATCCCAAAGGAGAAGAAAGAATGGGACAGAAGTATTTAACGATATAATGGCCAAGAATTTTCCAAAAATAATGCACAATAATGTCAAACCACAGATCCAAGAAGCTTGGACAATTTATCCAAAAGGGCTAAACCCCCCCCGAAAACAAAACAAAGACACACTTGGACACATCATAGACCACTAAAAACCAGTCAAAGAGAAAGTCCTGAAAGCAGCCAGAGGAAAAACAGATATATTATATATACAGAGGAAGAAATAATCACAGCCATTCTCATCAGAAAACAATGTACTGACATCTTTAAAGTGCTTTTAAAAAAGCAAAAAAACCTCAAAAACCAAACATACCACACCACCTATCAACCAGAATTCTATACCCAGTAAATATATTTTTCAAAACAAAAAAAGAAATAAAAACCTTTTCAAACAAACAAAAACAGAATTCATTACCATAGACCTGTACTAGAAGAAATATTTAAGTAAGTTCTTCAGATAGAAGGAATATGAGCCCGGCCGGGCGTGGCTCAGCGGTTGAGCATCAACCTGGGATCCAGGCGATCAGGGTTCAATTCCCAATCAGGGCACATGCCC